AAAGCCCCAACAGGAAGTAGCTGAAAAGCGCCAATGGGGAGTGAGCTAAATGTGTAATGTAATGTAAAAAAACGTTTCAAGATAACAATTTCATGATATCTGTTGTTGAAAGCGTCTTTGAACAAACTGTCCACGATACCGGTTGGTGCCAGTGTAGGTAGCGACGATAACAATTAAAGGCACAGTTCAGCCTGTTGAACGATGGTTTTTAAGGCACATTTCAGCCCTGTTAATTGAAAAAACTAACTAGGAAAATCAATTAAGCATAATTCAAAATCAGTAAACTCGATGTTTTTAACAATATGAATGTTTTAAAATGTTAAAAACATTAAGATTGGTGATTTTGAATTATGCTTAATTGATTTTCCTAGTTAGTTTTTTCAATTAACAGGGCTGAAATGCGCCTTAAAAACCATCGTTCAACAGGCTGAACTGTGCCTTTAAGACAACTGCGGAGTAAGAGAGAGATACAACTACTTGAAAATAGCGAAGTTATAGTAGCGACTCATTCTTCAGGTAGTTGTATCTCAAGTTCTCTGACAATCCTACGTTTATACAGCTTTCCTTATTCAAAAGCTGGCATGACAAGCTTTTGAACAAGGCCTTTGTCACGGAAAAAATTGTCAATCGTGTGTACGAACAGTCAAAATGTGTGATGGAAAGCTTGTACCTCTGTACGGGGTTTGACTTTAATTTCTTTCTACTGCATGTAGATAAAAGAGTTCAGTGAGGATCATCTTACAGTCACTAGTGGATGGGCAGCTTTGTTCATTTCAGAATTATCAGAAAAATTAAAAGAAGACGAAATAAGAAGTAAGAAATTTCAATGGCCACGATCAACTGGCACTGGCAACTTCTATCGACGACGTGTTTTACCGGCAACTTCCGACGTTCCAAGTGAGATAAATACCAACATCTATCCAGTGGTATTACTTCAATCAGTGGACGATGCTTTACCCGGAACAATTCGGACTTTGAGCGAATCTAAAGAATATCAAGGTAAAAAGACACTAATTACTAGTGATGAGTCTAACACATTGAAGCGTCAGAAAATTTCTAATGCGCATGTCAACGATGGAAATTCAGATGACATTAGTGATGCAAAGCTCCTAGACAGTTATCTCAAATATTTATAAATTTTACTTCACAAAATGTGCTAGGAAATTGTATCTTTATTGAACTGGGTAACTTACAGTTCTGGGGGGGGGGGGGGGGGAG